TGTAAAGAAGGCTATTGATTTTTGAGTGTTGACCTTGTATTCAGCTGCTCTACTGAATCTCTCAATTAAGTCTAGAAGTCTTCTGGTGGAGTTTTTTGGGTCTTCTATGTAGAGTATTATATCATCAGCAAATAATGACAGTTTAACTTCTTCCTTTACTATCTTTATTGCATTTATTTCTTTCTCTTTTCTAATTGCTATGGCTAATGTTTCCAAAACTATATTGAACAAGAGTGGGGATAGTGGACACCCTTGTCTTGCTCCTCATTTTAGCATGAAGGTTTTTAGTTTTTGAACATTTATTATGATGTTGGATGTTGATTTTTCATAGATAGTCTTTATCAAGTTGGGATAAAGACCATTTATTTCAATTTTCTGCAGTCTTTTCATCATGAATGGGTGTTGAATTTTATCAAATGCTTTTTCTGCATCTATTGAGATGACCATATGGTTTTTGTCCCTGACTCTGTTAATATAGTGTATTACATTTATTGATTTACGTATGTTGAACCATCCTTGCATCCCTGGGATAAATCCAACTTGGTCAGGGTGTATGATCTTCATGATGATCCTCTATATTCTATTTGCCAGTGTCTTATTAAGGATTTTTGCACCTATGTTCATTAGGGATATTGGCCTGTAGTTCACCTTTTTGGCTGGGTCTTTCTCTGCTTTTGGAATCTAAGTAGCTCTTGTTTCCAGAAATAAATTTGGAAGTATTGCTTCCCTTTCAATTTCATGAAAAAGTTTAAAGGGTAGCAGCAGTAGTTCTTCTCTAAATGTCTTATAGAATTCATCAGGGAAGTCATCATTGTTGGTAAATTTTTAAATACATTTCAAATTTTGCTGGTTGGGGTGTTCAGAATTTTTATATCTTCTCCATTCAACTTTGGTAATTCATATGTATCTAGGAACCTGTCCATTTCTTCTGCATTTTCCATTTTATTAGAGTACAGGTTCTTAAAGTAGGTATTGATGATCCTCTGGATTTCTGCTGTATCTGTTGACTTCACCTTTTTCATTCCTAATTGCATGGATCTGAGACTTTTCTTTCCTTTTTTGATAAGGATGGCTAAGGGTTTATTGATTTTATTTATTCTTTCAAAAAACCAACTCTTCAATTCAATGATTTTTTTTGTATGGTTCCCTTAGTCTCCATTGCATTGATTTCTGCTCATTGTTTGGATAAAAATTATTTTCATCTGCTCACTTAGTTGTTTTACTGGGAGTTCTGCAAATTTAACTGACAAAAGAAATGTTAGCAAGATAAAAGACAAGAGTTTATTTTCAAGGACTAATGTACACAGGAGTACTTGGAGAAGTAATTCAGAGAAGTTATTAGAATTTTAGTTTCATATATTAAAGTGGGTGGGGAAAACAGAAAGGGAAGAAGAGATTCCTATGGCACAAGTAATAGATTTCTTCATCAAAGACAATTGTGTGTTTAGGGGAACAAATGGGAAATAAGGAGGTTTGTGATGTTTATGTTGATAGTCTTTCTGTCTTCTGAATTCATAATCATGAAACTCCATGGAGGAGAATTTATGGTAGACTAATTTTTCCTCTCTTCTGGGAGCAGGTCACACAAGTCAGGTTTTTCTGGCAGTCTTCATTTGTCAAATATTTCTCCATTTAGTCAGGTAATGAAGTTCCAAGAAAGTTTCTTTCTGCATCTATTGTATCCCAAATGTCTTCAACCAAAACCAATTTTTATACCAACTCTGGGATTTGATATAGGTCCCCACATGACATGAAGAATGTTTAGCACAAAATTTACAAACAATGATAAACATACAATTCTCTATTTTGTAAATTATATACACCTGTACCTCAATGTGACTTGCTATTTCTTGCAATAGCACTGATATTGTTTAGCTCTACAATGTCTCCCCAAAATCTCATCTGTTTCAAAGGAGATTGGATGATGGAGGCATTATACTCATCATTGGATTCATCCAAACCATAACCCACTGATTCACCCATGGATGAGTTTAGTTGCTGAATGTGTTATTAGGAGGTAGAGCCTGGTTGGAGGTGAGTCACTGAAGGCATCATCTAGAATGACTCCTCCCTTTTCTCTCTACATCCTGGCTGCCATGGTTGAACAGCTTACCTCTGCTGTGCCCTTCCACCATTCCTGCCTTAGAGCTGGATGATATGAATTTAACCAACTGGAAATGTGAGCCAAATAAACTTCTACTTCTTTATGTTGTGGGTGTTCTGTATTTTGTCCCAGCAATGGAAAGTGACTAATACAGATTTTGGTACTAGAGAGGTAGGGTCATTGCTCTGACGATACCTACCACATAGTTCAGAGGCCTTTACGACTGGTTTGAGGGAAGAGTTGGGAAAGATTTGGAGATCCCAGCTAGAGAATCCTTAAAATTCTTAAGCAGAGATTGGTGACAGATTTTGTACAAATTCAAAAGGCTAAAACACTTCTAGAAAGTGAACAGTAAAGTCCAAGATAATGAAGTTTCAGTTCAGAATGAGGACGCTATTCAGTTGGGAATGAAAACTGGACAAGGGGTCATAGATGCTACATTCCAACAAAGAAATCTTTCATATTTTTTCCATGTCCTAAAACTGCAGGTGAACATGAATTTAAAGATGATGAATTAATTAATCTGACTGAGGAAATTAAAAGACACCTCAGCATTCAGGATGTGGCATAGGCACTGCTAACTCTTTTAAGTTACAAACACTGTAAAAATCAAGAAAAAAGGAGAGTTGAATAATTCAAAAAGCTTGCAGCTTGGCCATAAAGGAAGTGCCTGCACAGAATGGGCCCATGGACAGTGTTGGTGAGATTAGCATTAAAAAGAAGACAAGTACTTTCCATCAGGACAATAGAAAATATGGCTTGAAGGTCTGTCAGGAATCAGCAAGACCTCACTCACCAAAGACTCAGAGGTGCAAAAGAGTAAACCTTTCATTTGAAAAGAGAGCCCATGGGTCCTCTGTTGGAGAAGAGCCCCCTAGAAAGTTGATTCTCCAGGATTCATTGTATGATGCTCACCTATTTAAGCACTCAGAGGCCACTGCAGCCATGGTCCAAAAGAGTCCAGCTAGTTCTTGAGTTATTGACAGACCTCAGCATTTTCCACATAGTCATGGAGGCTTCTGCACAGATTTCAAAAGAAGGCCTGGGGGGCCATTCAGTGTGTCCTTGAGAGGGCAGTATGCAAAGCTATGAGACTGAAGCCAAAGCAGCAGTGGAAACTTCAATCAACTGCAGACCCCAAGAATGTGGAAGGTCTGCTAAGGCATATTGCAAGCAGCAAACAAGGTTAGTCCAAGAGTACAGAGGACTGTAATATTGATTTGCCCAAAGCAGGCTATGAAGAGTTAACCCTAACAATTAGCATCCATAATGAAAACAAACCACAAGCAATCACCTGCTCAGTGAGGCTACTCAGAATAAAAAGGAAAAAAAGAAAAAGAAAGAAAAGAATCGATGACACAGTGCACCTCACATCAAGGTCAAGGACAAGCACAAAATCCAGGAAAAAGGATGTATGAGCGTTAGATGCAAGAAGGTAGTAAAGGTAGTCAGCAGGGACTAAAATATGTGTTAATCACTTTCAGGCCAAGCAGGCCTGCAATGCTGAAGTAAGTGCTGCAAAAGATAGTTAAATATAATCATCATTTTCCACACACAAGAACTTTTGATGTGGAACTTAGGGAGCATGTCAAAAATAACATACAGACAGCTCAACAAAGAAAAGCTATCACCCTTGACACTTTAACTGAGACTTTGACAACTTGGAGCCTTGTGTGCTCTGTTTTGCAGTCTGAACAACTGAGCCTGGGAGCCACTCAAGCTTCTGCTCTTCGAATTCAGCTGCTGGTCAGAATTTAGTTTCTTAGAACAACTGCTTGCCAAATCTGCTGTCTTTCACAATGCAGACTTCTTGCCTCTCTCAGAAAATATGACATCATTACAGGCAAACTGCAGTGCTCCTCTCTGGAGGAGGTCAAGCTGCCTCCCCCTCCACTTGAGTTACTAAGATCACAGGTGTGGAGGAGGTGGTGTCAAAAGCATAAGGAAAACTGCTTGGCTTTAGTGCATCAGACGGTGTGGGTAGGGCACTGTGGTGGACTTAGAAAGGATTGAGTAGGGCTGGCACTCAGATTGGAAAGAACTAAAATGAGAAAATAAGTATTGAATTGAATTGAAAACAGCTAGGAAAGCTCTGAAAAGCATAAAGCAAAATAAAGAGAAAAAATACACCTGGCTTTAAGAGCCAAGGTCAGCATGGTGTTATCAGCCTGATGCAAAGGTCTGAAATCCAAAACAAAGCCAGAGAAACTGCAGCTGTGCTCCACCAGACATAAAGAGGTTTTACAAGAGAAATCAAATTACAAATTTTAACTAATTTATATTTGAAAAAACAAAACAAAACACTATTGATTTTTATCTTTTCAGGAGGTTGGGTGACTTACCAAAGTTATAGTATCTTGTAGCAAAAGTTCTTCATGTCCTGGGTTGTTTGTAGACCATGAAGGGCCAGGCCAAAATATTGGCTGTCTTCTTAGCCCAGTTACCTTTCTAATTCTGGTCTCTAAACTTTAGTTGTTGAACACCCAGAAGAAAAGAACAATAACATTAGCATTGCAATAAGAATAGTGAACTTAATTATTATTTTACCTGGATATCAAGCACTTCATAATATAAAATATAGTTAGAAGACTTATTTTTTTTATCAATTATGGTTGTTTGGAACCTTTCCCTAAAGACACAGTTACATAAACAAAAAGGGGGTACATCTATCTCCACAAGCTCAATTAGATCTTCTTACTTTCATTTTAAATTTTTAGATCCACTTATGCAAAGTAGATATATACAAAGATAGATCTACAGACATGTCCTAGACACTAGTGTTGTCAAAGTATTACTAACTAAAAGGTAAATGGCTTGATACAGTTAATAACATAGACACTGGGGTATGCTTATTTTTCAGCAGAAAATAAAAAGATGATGTGATCATCATCCCAGAATGTACTATGGTGACCCACGCTGGATTCACTGCAAGCAGCACGATGTGACACCCCTGCTGAAAGCCACACAAAGGCTGCATGTGAGTGATTCCCTTCACCTGCTACAGCCCTGGGACCTACTGAGATCACCAGACCTGATGCAGCTGCCATTTTCAAACAGAGAAGGGGAAGATGCAAAGGAATGTAACATTGATTATGCCCAAAGCAGGCTGTGAAGAGTTAATTCTTTTTTAGAATGGGATGGCTACCTCCTACTATTGTATGTTGGAAGTATTTCGCTTTCTTATTGATTTTTACAGGTGCTCAAAGCTAGGAATCTGCCTTGAGTCTTAGAAGAGACTTTGGACTTGGACTTGTCAAGAATGCTAGAACTGTTAAGATTTTGGGAAGTACCAGATATGGACTACATGAATTTTGCATAATGAAATGATGTGGCAGCAGGGAGTCACACCTGTGGCCACAGAAATTTGAGGTGCAGATCTGCATCAACCAGAGAAGAGCCACATAATGATTTTTTAAAGATGAAACTAAGTTTTATTATAAAAATACAGCAAATATAGTCAAACAATATATTACCATACAACAAGGCAGGGGACAGCATTGAAAATGAAGGGGAAGGATCTTCCATGAGATGGACCCTTCAGGAGGCAAGACAGGAAACATCACCCCACACTCAATTTTTTTATTTTCTTAAGTACTGTGTTCAAACAAAAGTGACATGGTGTCTGTGTGGCTAGAAAGGATTGTTCCCAGCTTTGGCTAGAGCCTGGGAATGGTCAATTCTTTGGGTAACAACAGTTACCTTTACTCCTTTTTATTGGTGGGTAGTGATCCTCCCTGTAGAAAGGCACACAGCCAAGGTCATTTCAGTGAACATGCATATTCCAGAGGACTTTCATCACCTTAATACTTTCTCTTATACATCGATATGAGTGTTTTGGTGGCAAGGGAAAGAATGTTACAGTTTAGATCTAAAATGTCCCCCAGAAATCTCCTGTGTTGGAGAGGTGATTGTATTATGGTAGCAGTGCATGCTAGATGAGTTCAGTCACTAAATGTGCTGTTAGAAGGTTGGAGGCACGGTCTGGAAGGTTGTGTTCTTGTTCTCAGCTCCTTCCTTTCCAGCTGATATGGGTTGAGCAGCTTTCCCCACCATGCCCCTCCACCGTGCTGTTTCTGCCCTGGAACCAGCTGACTTTGGACTGAACCCACTGGAAACTGTGAGCCAAATAAACCTCTCTTCCTTAAAGTTGCAGGTGTCGGTGGGGGGAGAGGGGAGGATGAAGGGAGGGTGGGGACAAGGGGAAAAAAATGAGAACCAAGACCTGGCATGTAAAGGTACAAGATCCCAGTAATGAATGTAACTGTACTGTCTACCTAGAATGTACCAATAAATTAAATTTAAAAATAAAATAAAATAAAAAGTTGCAGGTGTCAGATATTTTGTCCCAGCAACCAAAACATCACTAATATAATCACTATCAGGTTTTTTATGGTTATTTGTTTTTGTCACTCTAGGGATTAAACCTAGGGCCTTCAACATGCTAGGTAAACACTGTAGTGTTGAGCAACATTCTCAGTACACCACTATCAATTTTATAATTATTTCAATAATAGTTTCACAAGTTCAAGCTACAAATAAATGTTTGATGTATGTTCAATTTAAACCATGAAATCATATGATTGACAAATGTACTTCTGACATGAATGTTGGATGGTGTCTTTATTTACATTAACAAATAAAATAATCTCAGCCAAATGGGAGGCTGAGGCAAGAGGACTGCACATTTAATCTTCCCAGGCAGTTTAGTGACTTAGGGAGATTCTGTCCCAAAATAAAATAAATAAATAAATAAATAAGATTGGGATGTAGCTCAGTGCCAAGGCTCTGCATTTAATCCTCAGTACCAAAAAGGGGAGGGTTAAAATAAATGTATTTCAATGATATAAATCACCTTTTTATTGAAATAATTATTTTGAAATACTGAAAGAATATTTCCTATGTTAATCAGATTGCCATCACTGTGACAAAATGGCTAAGATAGACAATTTAAAGGAAGAGGGGGTTTATCCTGGTTTCAGTTCATGGTCAGTTGGCTGCATCACTTTGGGTCTGTGGTAACACAGTATATCATGGTGGAAATACGTGACAAAGGTGACTGCTCTCCTCATTGTGGCCAAGAAGGAAAAGACAAAAGATACCAGAAGGAACTAGCATCCCAGTATCCCCTTCAAGGGCATGCCCCCTAATGACCTAACTTCCATCCACTGGTCCCCACTTTCTGCTAGTTCTGGCCCCCCATCCCCCACCCAAGGGTGGTTGGTGTTAACTGTGCTGTTAACACATAAGCCTTAAGGGGACATTGCAGATCAAACTATAGTAGCTCCAGAGGTGGAGAGTGGGGCATTCACAATGTGATGGCCTCATTCAGGACATTTTTTTTTTTTTGAGACGGGGTCTCACTATGTAGTTGAGACTGACCTGGAACTCACTATGTAGCCCAGGCTGGTCTCCAACTCACAGTGATCCTCCTGCCTCAGCCTCCTGAGTGCTGGGATTACAGGAGTGTGCCACCACACCCAGCATACAGGACATATTTTAAATTTAATCTTTGTAAACATTTTCACTCTTGCTTTTTTCCCCACAATATCACTTTCTTAAGTCTATACACAATTAACAAGTCAAACTCTGCTTTGGAGCACTTGACAGTTTCCAAGGCATAAATCTTCTCATTGTGGCTGATTTCAAGGGACCAAAGTGGCATAACAACAGACAGAGTTGGAAAGAGATGTGCAGTATACTAAACAACTACAGAGTATTAAAGAGTATTTCCACATAGCAGGTACAATATACAAACTTAAATGTGGGGGTAATGGTAAAATGGAGTAAGATAATTAAAAGTTTTTAACCTTTGTAGAATTTAGTTTATATAATTGGATTTTTAACAATCACAGTAGTGAACTCTCTAGTTCATTCAACTCCTGGAATTTTAACAACTAACTCTTCATCAACCAATTTTAACAGGTCAGTAATTGCCCTATTCTATCAGTGAGAAAACTGAATTTTAGAGAGGCTATTACTAACTTACTGTAATGACAGGGGGCAGTGTCTTCAAGATACTTAATTCCAAACCTCTCCTTTGTACGGCATTTCTGTTTAAAACGTTACTGGTGGTTTGTTCACACACCCAAACATCTCCGTGTGAATGGATTTATCATTTGTTCTGTAGTCAATTCCTTCCTTTCCAATAGGTAAAACGAGGACCCTGACTAAAAGGATAAAGAGAATATCTACTTAATAGTTGTGTTCAGGATACAGCTGGATATGGTCCCCGCTGGGATTTGCCCAGCAACTGGTAGAAAGGATAGTTTTTGTTCTGTTTGTTTATGATTTTTCATTTGGTGTTCTTTTTTATACATGTTCATTGTATTTAATGAAAACATTAAAACTTACTGTAAGAACACAACGAAGCACAAGTATTAAAAATCAAATGAAGTTTCCAGGAGAGAAAAAAAATTAATCAAGAGTAAGTTAGGTAAATGATGGTACACACCCATATTCCCAGTAATCTTGGAGCCTGTGGTAGGAGGATCCCAAGACAGAGCCCAGCCTGGGCAAATTAAGGACACCGTATCTCAAAACTTTAAAAAAAAATAAATAAATAAGCCTGGAAATGAAGCTCACTGTATTTGATCTGTAGTACCACCAACAGTCAACAGATGGATGCCTGGGCCGCAGGTCTGGCTCACTCCTCCACTCTACTATTTTGAAATACACCTCGTTTCCTTTACTGACTATGAATTTGAGGTGCCTACTTCTGACAGCTTTGCCTCTCCTACTTCAGGCAGTTTGGGGCTAATTATCATGTAATCAGCATCCTAATGTCACCAGTCATAGATCACTCAGAAGCAATTTTAATTTATGTAGTGGAATTCCAATAGAAAAAGACTCAGAATACTACTCAGCCATAAAGAATGAGAAATTAGATTCATTCATAGGAAAATGGATACATATTGAGGATATACTCCTAAGTGAAATAAATAAGTCACACATGTGTAAATACCAAATAGTTTCTCTGGTGCGAAAAACTATAATAGTACATAAGATTCTCCTGAGATAATGGACAATGTGAACTCGGAAGAAAAGGGCTAAAGGTGTAGGGAAAGTGGGAAGGGTAGGGGAAAGGAAATAAGGGAAAGGAAAAAAAATATGAGAAACTGAAAAAACGGAAATAAAGTGCTAGCAAATGGGGAGGGGAGGAGGGGGTGAAGAGAGGGCAGGGACAAGGAGAAAAAAGGAGACTCAAGACCTGTCATGTAAAGGTACAAGATTCCAATGACGAATGTAACTGTACTGTATACCTAATATGTACCAATAAACTCAATTTTGGAAAAAAAAAAAAAAAAGAATCAGAACCATTGTATATACAGCAGGCTCAGGCAAAAAAGCGTCGCCTGGCCAAATTGGACAAAGTTCCAACTGGCTCACCTCAGTCACACACTGCCCCGGTCGAAGTTGCACATGCGCAATCAACCCCTCTGTCACCGCTCAGCCCCGCCCCTCTGGACGCAGTGCTCCCAAAACCGAGCAGCGTGGAGACGTAGACGCTTGGGCTACGGCCGCGCAGGCGCAAGCGGGGTGCCTTGGCAGAGCCGGCGCTTCTTCTGGTGGCGGGTTCGCAGTTCTTGGGTCTGCTAAGTGCGGTAGAGCCCCGCGGGTGCTGGAGGTCTGGGGTCGTGGACCCCGGCCAAGTCCCAGCAAACACGGAGGTGCAGGGTGTCAAGGAGGGCGCGGGGCTCTCCACCACTGTGACGACCCCGGCCTCGCAGTTCACTCTGTTCGTAATGCACCCTTGCAGCGTGTCGGACGAGGCCGCGGCTGAGGACCTCCCGAGGCCGACCCCGGCCCCCTCCTCGACCCC